TGTGGTGTATCACATTGATTGTCTTGCGCACATTAAACCATCCCTGCATACCAGGGATAAATCCCACTTGGTCTGGGTGGATGATCTTTCTGATGTGTTGTTGCATTCTATTGGCGAGAATTTTATTGAGAATTTTTGCATCCATGTTCATCAGGGATATTGGTCTATAATTCTCTTTCAGTACTGCATCTTTTTCCAGCTTAGGAATTAAGGTGATGCTGGCTTCATAGAAAGAATTTGGGAGGATTCCCTCTTTTTTGATTGTTGTGAATAGTTTAAGAAGAATTGGAGTTAGTTCTTCTTTAAATGTCTGGTAGAATTCAGCAGTGAATCCATCTGGTCCTGGGCTTTTCTTTGTTGGGAGGGCCTTTATTACTGTTTCAATTTCTGTTTCAGTTATGGGTCTGTTTAGGTTTTCAATGTCTTCCTGGTTCAATTTAGGTAGGTTGCATGTGTCCAGGAATCTATCCATTTCTGATAGGTTTCCCTGTTTGCTGGCATACAAGTCCTTGTAGTAATTTCTGATGATTGTTTTTATTTCTGTGGTGTCTGTTGTTAAGTTTCCTTTTTCATCTCTGATTTTATTGATTTGGGTCTTTTCTTTTTTTAGTTAGTTGGGCCAATGGTGTGTCAATTTTGTTTATTTTTTCAAAAAACCAGCTCCTCGTTTGGCTGATTTTTTGTAATGTTTTTTTTGGATTCAATCCTGTTGATTTCTTCTCTGATTTTAATTATTTCTCTTCTCCTACTAGATTTGGGTCTGGTTTGCTGCAGTTTTTCTAGATCCTTGAGATGTATTGAAAGCTCATCTATTTGGTGCCTTTCCAATTTCTTGATGTAGGCACCTAGTGATATAAACTTTCCTCTTAACACTGCTTTTGCTGTTTCCCATAAGTTTTGGTATGTTGTGCTGTTATCCTCATTTACTTCCAGAAAATTTTTGATTTCTTGTTTAATTTCTTCTATGACCCATTGTTCATTCAGGAGCATGTTGTTCAATCTCCATGTGTTTGCGTATGCTCTAGGGATTCCTGAGTTGCTAATTTCCAACTTCATTCCGCAGTTATTTGTTATTTATTGTGTTTTCGTATTTGACAGAGTTAGTGAAGGAGAGAGACAGAGAGAAAGGTCTTCCTTCTGTTGGTTCACCCCCCAAATGGCGACTACGGCTGGAGCTATGCCAATCCAAAGCCAGGAACCAGGTGATTCTCCCTGGTCTTCCATGCGGGTGCAGGCGCCCAAGCACTTGGGCCATCCTCCACTGCCCTCCCGGGCCACAGCAGAGAGCTGGCCTGGAAGAGGAGGAACCGGGACTAGAACCCAGTGCCCATATGGGATGCCAGCGCCGTAGGCAGAGGATTAACCACGTGAGCCACATCACCGCCCCCCATAGTGCAGTTTTAATTTGTTTTACCTTTTCTCTATAGATAAATGTCTACTTTTATTTTTCCAAATTTAATGTTTCACATGATTCTGCAGTCAGTTTCTTTGGATATCTATGTAAGTATGTCTTTAAGATAAAATTCTACAAATGGCCTTTCTTATTCCGAGAGCAAACATAGTTCATGTACACACTTACCCACCAAAGATGTGAGGATCTATTTCTCCTCCTACAGTCCCCACACGAGATTATATTGCTCTTTTTACTTTGTGCTATTTACCAGATTGTATTTCTTGTTTTAATTTTTATATTCCTGGTTCACAATGAGGCTGAGCAGATTTTTCCTATTTTTTCATGAGGCGGTGCTCTCCAGATGGATTAAACAACTAAAAGTTAAAAACAAAAAAGTCTTAAAAGTGTTTCAAGAAACTGCAAAAGTATATAGTAACCTAAGGATAAATTCATAAAATAAAAGTTAAGATTTTTTACCACATTTATTAAAAAATAAAAGTATGCATGCCATGAGCGTCGTAATAGTTAACCAACACTCTGAGAGGAAACATCGGCTCTATGTAGCAAACCAGACATTAAATACTCAGAATACAGAAGGGGCTCTTGTACATCACTAAGAACAAGAGACCAGTGGGAAAATGAGTGAACAAACACATTTTCAGATGAATCCTGAATGGCTAATGAATGAAGATGCGTAGCATGCTTGCTTTTTTTTTTTTTTTTCACTATTAACAATATAAAGTAGCTATCTTATGTCAGTGCATGCAGATTGTCTCCTAAACAGTTGTGTGGGATACCATTTTTATTTATTTGAACATTAATCTGTTGATAGATATCTAAGTTATTTTCTATTTCTTTCTATGGTATTTCTACAGTGAGTGTGCATTCTTACACATTTATCTGATTTCTTCTTTGGAATAAATTCTTACAAGTTAATTTGCTAGATTAAGTGATATGATACATTTAAAATTTGTTATACATTACAAAATTATCCTCCAGAAAGGCCTACTACTACTGTATAAGAGCAGTCTTGTCATCAGAAACCACTAACAGAGATATTATCAATTATTATAGTCTTAATCTGATAGGTGAAACATTCTACTTTATTCTAATAGATTTGTTTCTTTGATTATTGCTAAAATTTAGTATCTTTTAATGTTTATATTTTGAAATGTTTATCATTTTTTCTTTATTGATTTTTCTATCCCACACTAATTTTTCTATTGGTATTTTTGTATAAAGGTACTGAAAGTTTGTGGAAAACTGGAATTAAAAGACATGTTTATTTTTATGGAAAAACGTTTTAAATACATGCATAGTTTTCTCATCATATATACTTTCTATGAACTTTTTTTGATGTGTTTTCATATTGTGATATACCATACCTGTTATTTTAATACATGTTGCAGTTTTGTCTTTTTTGATATTTAACTTTTTACTATATTTCACAGTAGCATTTAATAAAAGTTTTATATGGTCCTGTACATTATGGAAAGCTTTTATGTTCTGTGGTCTTACTGTTGCTGTCATCAGTATACAGTATGACAGTTAATGACTTACATTCCCTGAGTATACATTATCCTGCTACTTGAAATCATATCCCTAGAAAAGTTTAGAAAATGGATTATGTTTTTTAAATGGCACAAGGATGATGATTCTTCCAAGTTAATACAAATCTGAATATGCAGTTCTTGTATCTTGTTTTAATTATCCTTTTTATTTCTAATGGACATATAGACATTGTATGTATCTATATGGTATAATGCAACAGTCCAATACATGTATACCATATGTGATGATCAAAGCAATTAGCATAACCAGTACCTCAGACGATTTTAGTTTCTTTGTGTTGGAAACATTAAAAGTTATCTGTGCTAGCTATTTTGAAATCTATAGATATTAGTCATAGTTATCTTATTGTGCTATAGAATATTAGAAGTTATTCTTCTTATCCAACTGCACTCTGTGTCCATTAACCACCTTCTCTCTATCTCCCTTCTTCAATCTTAAATTTTACTTGCCATTTTCATATATCACATTAATATTTATATCAATTTAATTCATCTCTTCAATATTTATTCTGTTAAACCACTGTTTTCTCTTCAAAATGAAGAATTGTGTGCTTGTGCAGATCTAGCACAGTACCACCTGACTTGCTAATAAGCACTTTTGATGACAGCTGCATAGATGAGATTCTAGAAATAGATACCCAGGCCCTGGCAGGTTACACAGTTCCTATAACCCGATTATAGAACCTACCAGGAACAGACTGCTGTCATCCAGACTTGACCGTTACATGTACAAGAGAAAATAGTATAGTGTTACTATGTAATGGGTCTTCTATGCGTATTCTCACTGCTTTAAATTCACTGATCATATAAAAAGGGAAGAATGCACTAGCTTAGTGTTTGATCTTTACCACATAGATCTAACGTCACGATCAATTGCTTTCAGTATTTTCTTTGAAATCACATAAAGGTTCATATGTGCCAAATTTCATAAGGATCACATGATAAGGTCAAGAAATACAAATTCCAATGCAGAATTTATGTGCCCAGTTCACATATGACAGTAATACTACATAACCATATGTTGACTATAATACACTGTATGTAAATGCTATTCTTGAAAGCAATCCAATCAATAAAAGCTAAAATAAATAACACTTTAATAACACATTGCAAATCGACTGAAAATGGAATAGATGGGCTTTATGGCAAGAACATCCCTATAAAATTGACATTCAGAGGCTATTAAAACAAAGTAAAACAATCATGAAACTAAAGAAAAACTGAATATTTAGAAGTTTCAAAAAAGCCTATTACACTATATGCCAAGATACAGCAATCATTTTTATTTAAAGAGCTATTTCAATAAAAACCATAGATTTCCAAGCATTAAAAAGTAATTTAACTTTGCCATCACCAATAACCAATAAATCTTTTTTTAAAAAAAAAATATACAATATTGACCAGAAAAAGTATAGAATACATAATGTTAAAGAGAGAAAAAGTCAAAACAGAGAAATTCAAATTGTGGTCATAATTAGTTCTGTTAAACGATTGACCAATTTTTATCATTAAAGGAGGTTATAGGGAAGCTACCGAAGTGAACTTCAAAAGCCTAGCAGTAAAAGTGATTGTAATGTCAATAAAACTCTGAAACATATCAAATAACTGCTAAGTAGTACAAATCCACTGCGTCTTTGAACCTGTATATGCCTCTTTAAAGCTGACAAGGTTTTCCCCTTTTTCCTTAATTTAGTTCCAACATCACTTTTTTTAAGTCCAGCTGTTAAACAGCAGCTCAAGAGTACAGAATCGTTACCTTTAACCGAAGATGATATAAGTTAAGGTTTGAAATGTCTTTTCTTCTTTGTCCTGGTTCTAGGAAACCTGGTTTCATCATCCCACATTATACGGAGAGAGCTTCTGTCTTTTTTGATACAAGTACTCGGGTACCATATGTATGTGAACAAATGAAACAATGAAGGTTCTATGCCATTATTTAACCACTTTTCCTCTTGCATAGCAACTCAAAATGCTGATACCAAAATGAGAGGTTTGTGATGTAATTGATGTTTTTCATTTCAATTTTGTCACTTTAGATCCTGGGAAGACCCTGCCAGAAGCCCTTGATTATAGCACTGTGTGGCTGCAGACAGTGCCTGGAGAAGTAGACAGTAAAAGTGGGATCCCACCTTCCCTCATCACGCTGCAAATCAAAGACTTCCTCAACGGACCAGGTGAGTCTGCAGTCAACTGTGTGCACATTTATTTTTCCTATGAGTAATTTTGGCATTCGTTGCTGAAAAGGAATAGTTAATTTGCAATAGTTTGCTTTTAAAAAGTTTAGACTACCCAGTCTAGAGATCAAAGGGGAAATATAAATCTGCATTAAAAGTTACCATTAGCCTGACAAAAAGTGATTATCGTTTAACCACTCTGGAAGCCCAAAACCCAATATTTTATTTCTGCCTTTTCTGTTAGTTAACTGTGTGCTCTCCTGTGCGTTAAGTTTCCTCAGCTGTCTATGAAGAGAATAAAGTGGAAGGATGGATGGGATACATGATACACATATATAAATTACATGCAGAGTAAATTCGATAAGTACATGCTTTCAAATTCTTCGGAAAGTGTTTGAGACATATAGTAAGCACGCAGCTTTTGCTAGATGTGGATATCAAAGAGTATTGAGTGCTTGTTTTGTCTCAGGCAGAAAACACTTCAAATTCATATAGACCCAAGGAACAGGCGCCGTAATTATCACCATTTTATGAGTAAGGAAGCTAAAACTTAGAAAACTGAATCCAGTTGAATATAGTCATAGTGATAAAGGAGCCATTCAACCCTAGGACTTTATGACTGCGAGGAGTAGCTATTACATGGGTGCCGCCTTGATCTTAGCATGACTGAAGATGTTCCAGCCTCTTCTCCTCACCCTCCTCCTTCTTCCCGTTTTTTCTCTTCTTCCTTCAACTTATGTTCCTCTTCCTCTTCTGCTCTTCTCCCATTACCTCAGTTTGGTCTTCGCTGTGTATTTAAGCAGAAATCGCTGCATTTCAGTTTTCTTTTGTCATTTTACTCTTACGGTGTTTCAGAATGTGTTAGTCATCAAGGGAATGTTTGTTTCTTTATTAAGAATTTAAAATTATGATGTGATGCTGTGTTAATCTCTCTAGCTGTACTCTACAAGACGTGAATGTGGGGGTGGGGGATATCCATCTGTGGACCTCACCGGGAGTGTGGATTGTGGCAGCAGTGTGCTCACCATCCACAACCACAGAGGGAGAAAAAGGCCTGCATGGAACTTCCTGCCCTGGCCCCTTCTCTGGGGCCCAGTTCAGCAAGTCTCTCCAGTGCTAGGCTTTTGAAAGACATGGAAGTATGAAGAACCATTTCCAGCCGTGATAAATATCTAGACATGGGGTTTTAAAGACTTGAGGGGAAGTCAGAAACTGAGGGTGAAGGGTAAGGGAGTCCTTATAGTGTTGGAAGTCTTTGGGGTGAGGACGCGGATAAACTGCAAGAGTGTGTGAAGCAGTGTTTCACTGACTCCACACCACCATCAGTAGAAGGGAGCAGCCTTCAGTGTACAACACACACATTTGGTGTACCATTTACACCATGATGTAATGCTGCACCAATTGTAGGGCACTCCCTAGTTTCAGTGCTGTACACATATGAAAAACTGAATGCAATGGAATGGATGAAATAGGATGAGAACATGGTTAGTTCATGGAGGAGTGATGAGGAATTGAGTTTACCTCTTCACGTTTTAGTTTCAGGTTTCTGTTGTTGTTAGGCAGTCTTCACTCACTTTGGCTACAGAGTCCTTTGGTGGTTTACATTTGATTGATTGATTTATTAAAGGGACAGAATCTGCACCAATGGTGAATTGTGTACCATGTTATCAAAAGATTGAATTTTAAGAGAAGTACTGATGAATGAATAAGAAATTGTGTACTTAAAATTCTACCATTTAAGATGCTTCTGTAGTAAAATTGTGATTTTTAATTAGCTGTACATTTGGGAAATAGGAAATAGGTTGGGAAATAGGTCTGTACCTTCTCTGATTTTATATCCACTCAAAAATAGTGATGATATTTTTGGAGAGTCGGATCTTAACAGTTATTTTACAGCAGTGCTTTTCAAAGTTGAGCCTGCATTTGAAGCATCTCTAGGGAGTTTGTTAAACTGCAAATGTTAACTTAGCAGCTTTGGATGGTATGGCTTGAGTCTATATTTTTAACAAGCTAGTGGGTGAAGTGAATGCTTTTGATTTAGGGTTTGTACTTTGGTAGAAAGGTTTTTTATGACTCATCAAAATTATTTTTTAAAATATTGATTTCTTATATGCTTTCATTAAAGAGCATCAGTCACAGATTTTGAAGGGCAAACTCTAAAAGTTTTGAGGCACAGGAGAGAGATAATAGAAAGATGAGTTGTTTTCAGAATGTTGCCTTTATTACAGAAAATCAGTGTCCAATGAATGATTTAAAAGTCAAAGTCAAAGCATTTAAAAATGTTCTTTAAAGTCTACAACATTTTAACCCAAATACATTTTCTATTTGAGTGAAGATTTGATAGGTCAGTTATGTAAGATTTCTACTAAAGCACTAACCTAACAGCCTTGAACTGCTCCAGTAGTTTTTATCTCAAAAATTTCTTTACCTTAAGCAAATTATCAGAGTAAATAAGTTGATGTGATTCCATGGAACATTTATATTCTGTCACTATATAGATTGCTACTGTATATCAATTTAGAAATCAAAAAGGTATAGCAATTACTAAGACTAAATGGGAATAACAGGACAATTAAGACATTTTTTGCCATATGAATGTATTATTTTCTAGATTTTTCTCAACTCAAGAAAATTGTATTTAAGTGTAGTATCAATTACACTGAGACTGGAAGAGGGCAGGGAGACAAACTTCAGCTTTATAACATTCTAATATTCCTTCATACTGAGTCCTTCCCTGAAAAATAAAAAGAAGCATTAAAAGTAATACTTCTAATTCTTAGGCAAGGTCCTCATTAAATGTTATTAAGAGTTTTTTCTGCCTGTTAGTGTAGCCTCAAGCTACATCTCTCTCCTTGTTCTTGAGTTTAGGTTGCACTAACAATGAGAGTTATAGCCCTCAAAAATAGAGGACATACTGATTGTTAACTGTCTGCCCTTAAATGATACCCAAAACTTGCCAGCTTTTGAATTTAGCCTTTTGGATTTTTTATCAAGGATTATTTCCTCTAAGCAAGGTGATACAAATACTGCTCTTTAGCATTTGTTTTTGGACAAATAATTCAGAGTACTTGAGTATTCCTTCATTTCCTCTGTTCACTTAATAGTACCTCAGAGCAAATGGTAGGCTCCAACTTCTACATCAAAAACCCTTCAAAGCTTCCCAACCCCCCACCGCCTACCTTCAGAGGCAACAATCATACCCATTAGCAAGGTCAGTGGCTTGGAGAAACCTGGAGAACAGCAGCTACCAGAAACCCGCTAGAATAATATCTCCAGCAGGTGATAGATTAGTTGGAACAAATTGGAACCATTGCAGTTCAGCAGTCCTGGTTTCTTTCAAGCTGTTTTTAAAATGTCGTCATTTTAATACACAATCTAAGCCCCGCGGAACAGTCCACAGCAGGTTAATTTGAATCATATGATGTGTCACTGCCCTCAGCTGACATGAGCTCTATTCCATGTGTGAAGCCATAATAAATCCATTCCCAACCGAGGAAAATTCCCCGTGAGAAGGTGAACTAATCCAGGCCTCACACTGGCATGCTGGCCCCTCTGTAATTGAAAGCAGGGCCACCTGTTCCCCTCACAGTTAGCCTAGAGAGAAAAAAATTAGCGATAGATCAGATACTGCTTACATTGAAAACTCATTCATACTTGCAAATTCAAATTCAGCTGTGAAGTGTTTGGTGTGACATCATACAGAAATGCAGGAATGTGCCCACTTGATCCTAGTTAGAAAATTTTGCTAACCATAGGATTTCTTAACTTTGAAATGAGATTTTTTTAAAAAAATTAATTTAATGAGAACTGACACGTGAGAAGAACTGGTAAGGGTGCAGATTTTTCTAATTAACTCCGGGTCATTTGCAAAAACATTTGAGCCCCCTGGTATTTTTTTCATTGTTCTTTTGCAGACAAATTTTTGAACCACTGTCACTGTAATGGTGAAATGACATTTAGATGACAACAAAGAACAAAAGTGCCAAATTAGGAGAACATTCTCAAGTCATTTCTGTTTTGTTATAAATTAATGATATGCATACCACATTCATCATATAATGTAAATACCATGGCTATATCAAACACAGAGCTTTGAATGCAGCGTCACATTTAGTTTAGTGTACGTGGTGTTGTAGTTGAGTCATATTGCAACTGATGTCTTTACCTAATAAAATCACCTCTTTAGTTTCATCCTGTTTCACTTGTGCACTTACCAATGTAGTTTTCAGTTTTTCTGATTTCATTCTAGCATTGCCTTGGTTTTATATTTGGTTTTTATTTTTGCTTTAAAAATTAATTTGACTAATTAGCTGTAATTCTGTTTTGAATGCTGTTTTCTTTTTATATTTTACAGATTAATTTAGTGTCTTATAGGTTACCATGATTTTGATTTGTACTTCTAAAAGATTCCTAAACATTCTAAACTATTGCATTTCCACAAACCTTTTTGATTTGAATTAAAATATATACTAAAGTGCTATAAAGTATTCAAAAGACTTTTCAGATAAAGTAATAAATCATTCAAAGAGGTTTGTTTATGTGACTATAAAGTAGAAATTTACATGTTACCGCAAATATGTATATTTTTAAATGTCTTTATTTTTCTCAGTGAGCTCTACTTTTATGTTGTGTATTTATTGAATTCATTACTAATCAGGGAATAATTCAAGTAAGTCTTGAAGGTGAGTGATTCAGGGGAATTAAGATAACCTTAAACTCAAGATAACCCTTATAGGCTCCTGACATTTTCTGGAGTTGAAAATGAAGATAACTAAGATGGTTTTTAAATATAAGAAAATTTAAAGTGGAAGTAAAATTTTAGGAAGTGAATTTTAATTAATATGTTTTTGGGAACTGGCATCGTGGCATAGCAGGTAAACCTGCCACCTGCCATATGAGCACCAGTTCAAGTCCTGGCTGCTCCACTTCCAATCCAGTTCCCTGCTAATGGCCTGGGATGATGGCCCTGGTGCTTGCACCCTGCACCCACATGGGAGACC